ATGGATTGGGGCACTGAGCTGTGGGTAAGTCCAATCGGCCCGCCTCTAAGTTCCTCTTTGCTGGGGTCCAGGTACCCCCCTTTTGTCCCCAGTGTATCTTAGAGGGGGCTCCGCGCCTTTCCCTTCCACCAACCCCTGGGTCCCCGCCCTCCACCCTCCGCCCTCTCTCGGAGTGTATCTGGGAGTCTCAGCACGCTCAGGGGCGAAGGGCAACTTTGCCGAACCGGCATGGGGAAACTGAGGCACAGAGTTGCGAGTGAGGCGGGCAGAAGGAATCCTGCGGCCCGGCCGGGGCGGCTGGGAGAGGTCACCTATTTTGGGCTCCCTGGCCGGGCAGGCGGCTTATCTTACGGCCCCTGGGTCCCTGCCCGTCGTCCGCCTGTCCGGCTGGGAGGGGGGAGGGGACCCTCTAGTCACCCTCATCCCCACCCACGTGGGACCTAGAAGTCCTGACCGCCCTTTCCCTCGCCTTTAATCAACACCTAGGGGCTGGGGAGGCTCATGGAGGGGAAGGGGGATGCTAAGCTCGGCCTAATCCCCCTCCCTGGCTTCCCCAGGCCCAGGGCGGGATCGCCCCCTGATCGCCTATAACCTCAGCCCTGGAAGCCCCAGAAATTTCCCCCTATCCTTGCCGGACCTCTGACCCCTCCCCTTCCTGGGGGTGGTGGAATCCCTGAGTTCTCAGTGCAGCGGGGGTAACCAGACCGCCACTCCCTCCTCCAACTCTGCGATTTCTTTTGGATGTGTAGTGGGGTCAGTGGGGGAAATTGAGTCACCCATTGGGGGATCCCGGGAAGCAAGGAGATTCAGGGAACCTGGTGCCTGCCCCCTGGCCACTCAGGGGCCCCCAGTCTGCGAGGAACCCTGCCCCTCTGGCCTTGACTCACGCCGGGCCGGCCGGATTTTCCGGAATCCGGGGGGATTAGGGGAGCCCGAGCTGGGGGAGTGGCCCTGTCCCCTTCCACGCCCCTCTTGGCGGTCCTATGTCGGAGACCCCTGTCTCCCGGCCGGGGTGGCTGGGCCCTGGGCGCTGTTCTCCGGCCCTTCCCGGGAAGGGGAGGGGGTTCCCGCCAGTTTCCTGCCTCCCCCCGCGCCACGCCGGGGCGGCGCCGGGAAGCCACTCCTAGGAACGCAGAGCCTTGGAGCTCCCTGGGAGTCTGGTCGGCGGGCTGTGGGGTCCCAAGATCGTGACCCCGGCTCCTCTCTCCTCCTCCCCCACCATGTCCCCTGTCAGGATCAGTTCGAGGTGCTCGAGCGCCACACGCAGTGGGGGCTGGACCTGTTGGACAGATACGTAAAGTTCGTGAAAGAACGTACCGAAGTGGAACAGGCTTACGCCAAACAACTGCGGTGAGACCCTGGGGTGGACGCTACGGAGGACGCGCCTGGGGCGAGGGGGAGCGGTGGGAGGACTGCGGGCTCAGCCCTCCTACCTCTGTCTCCCCTTAGGAGCCTGGTGAAAAAATATCTGCCCAAGAGACCTGCCAAGGATGATCCCGAGTCCAAGTAAGGTTGGAGAGGGGCTGCAGGGCTGGATTGGTGGGGGAGGGCGGTGCGTGGGTCTCACTTCCCCTCCCTCAGCTGGGACACCCCACACCGCTCCTCTCACTTCCCCCTCTAGAGGTGAGAGCAAGGATGAAAGATGCGGGATTATCTAGGTTGGAATCCTGAGTCCACTACTATGTAGATGAATTGCCTTGGGCTTGTGATTCAGGGTTTCTGCCACTATTTTCCTTAACTGTTAAATACAAAGGCCCCAGCAGTTACAAAACCGGTAACTTTGGGCAGATGACTTAAAGTTTTGCGCCTCTGTTTTTCTCATCTGCAAAATGGGATGATGATGATTCCTCCAGCTTTGTAGGTCTTGCATGAACACAAGCTGAGTTAATGTGTTAAAACGGTGTGCAGTCCATATTAAATGCCGTCAGGAGCATTTGACTTTACTTTGAGTCCCCAATTCCAAAATCCAAAAAGCCCTGCAAATCAAGTTGCTTTGGTCACTTGTTGGTGGCAGTCTCTGACCTGAACTTTTTGTTAATTGTAGTTTTCTTTTCTTTTCTTTCTTTTTTTTTTTTTAAGACAGAGGCTCACTCTGTCACCCAGGCTGGAGTGCAGTGGCGCCATCTCAGCTCACGGAAACTTCTGCCTCCCAGGTTCAAGTGATTCTCCTGCCTCAGCCTCCCTGGTAGCTGGGATTACAGTCACCTGCCACCATGCCCAGCTAATTTTAATATTTTCAGTAGAGACAGGGTTTCACCATGTTAGCCAGGCTGGTAATTGTAGTTTTGACTTTT